AATATTTAAATCGAGTCGAACACGAACACACTGTTCACGAGAAAAATTTTGAACGCGAACCGATATCGAACACGAGCTATTTCGAACAAGCCGAACACGAGCCAAGCCTGAGCTCGCTCAAGCTCGGCTCGTTTACAGGCCTACTCTCATCCCCTCCGTCATCGCATTAGGGTGTTGTTTATATTTGTTTTTGTTTATTTCCTGTTTTGAAGGGTCATCGTTGTAACCTGCTTGCATTTCAGCAATAATATTTATGTTTTCTATCACGGTATGGGTTGACAATATCAGAGCTAGCCTAACCCTACTCCTATCCTAAGGTTTTCTACTATCCACCCTTACCCCTCAACTAATTTTTTTTCTTTCATATCCTTATCCACCCCTTCTAAACCCAAACTCTAATCATACCACCACGGAGATACATGTCGGACCCCACCTGGTATGAGATACAGCGGGAGATCCATTGTCTGCAACAGAGATTGGCAAAGATAGATGATGGAACCCAAGAGGGATTAACCTTAACCACAATCTGGAGAGTCGGAGAGACTGGGATGAGGATTTGAATCTGTTCCACAGGAAATATATCAGCGATAAAGAATACCGACCACACCGCTTCGAAATTAAATATCAGAGGAGGCAGAAAGAAAAACCCACATATCAAGGCCACAAGAACTTCGGCATCAAAATAGATCTACCAGAGTTTGATGGAGGTATAGATCTAGATGAGTTTAATAATTGGCTACAGCCTGTTGAACGGATCTTCGAATATAAAGATGTGCTAGAAAATAAGCAAGTAAAATTAATAGCAATCAAGTTGAAAAAGAGTGTCTCTTTATGGTGGGAGAACTTACACGAGCATGGAAAAAAAGAATGCAGTAATAAGATAGTGGGAAAAGATGGAGAAGCCAATGCAAAATAATTATCTTCCACCTCATTACCGCCAGAACATGTTTTTAAGATTAATTAAAGGTGAGTAAATCGAGTTGGAGGAGCACATTATAGCCAAGTACTTGGGGAGCCTAAACCCCGCAAATAGCAATGTGGCGCAGCTATAGCCATACTGGACACTGGGGAATATTCAAATTATAGCCTTGAATGTAGAAAGACAACAGAAACGAAGCAAGCAGCAGTCATCCTTCAGACAGCAACCTTTAGTCAGGTTGTCACCAACAGCTACCACAACCGACAAAAGTACCTCGGGACGAACTAGCAAGATATGATAGGGAAATGACAGACCAAATCAACGTGGGAAGAAATAAGAGAAATGTAGCTTATTCAATACAATACTAGCCAGAAAGTGTTTCAGATGTCACGGCTGCGAGCACATAGCCTCCAGCTGTCCCACAAGCTGAGTTGTCACATTCACAGACCAAGACGTTGTCGAGAAAGTGGAGGACAAGGAGTCAGAGAATAATCCGAAGTAGGAACTTCAGCTATAGGGAGATGAAGGAGAATTATCAATCATCTGGAGAGTTTTACAGTCAGAGTCAGAGCGAGATCAATCCTGGTTGAGATATAGTATCTTTTGCACCAAGTACACGGTAAAGGGCAAAGTTTGCAGCTTCGTTATTGATAGTAAAAGTTGGGAAAATGTTGTGTCCATGCTGATGGTGAAGAAATTGGGACTTACCAAGCAGAGACATCTCCAATCCTATTCCCTTATCTGGTTGATGAATAAAAACAAGATATGCGTGGATCAACAGTGCTTGGTCAAGTTTTTGATTGGGGATCAGCTACAGGAGCAAGTATTTTGCGATGTGGTTCTAATGGGCGTTTATCACATTCTATTGGGTATGTCTAGGCAGTTTAATCACAAGACTCAGCACGGCGGCTTCAAAAATACTTACTTTCTTAAGAAGAAAGGAAAACGCATCGTACTATTACCAGTTAAAGATGCATGAGATGGAGGCGACATAGAGGAAGCATTAGTCCCACGAGCCACCTTCATGCAGTCAATTCAGGACGCTCTAGTGGCACTAGCATTAGTCCTCCTAGAAAGAACTGAGTGGAAATGTTAGACATCAGCACTACTACAGCCACTACTACAGAACTTCCAGGATGTGATGACCGACAGTCTTCTTGAGGGATTACCGTCGCTAAGGTAAATTCAGCACTGCCAAATCGGCCCGCCTTTAGATTGAGACTCGTGGAGTAATAGGAGTTACAACGACAGATAAAGGATCTCATCACAAGAGAACTAGTCATAGAGAATGTCAGTCTATGTGTTGTTCCCACCTTGATGGTACCCAAGAAGAACAGCTCATGATAGATGTGCATCAAAGGCAGGATCATCAACAGAATCACTATCAAGTATTAGTTTCTCATACCTCGCCTAGATGATCTTCTGGACCTGTTACACTGAGCCACCATCTTTTCTAAAATCAACTTGCACAAGAGTACCACCAGATACGGATGAGGCCAGGAGACGAGTTGAAGTCTGCTTTCAAGACACTATATGCTTTATACGAGTGAACAATTATGCCTTTTGACTTGCAAACACGCTCGGCATTTTTATGAGATTGATGAAATAGGTATTCCAGACCTACATAAGAAAATTTATGGTGGTCTACTTTGACGATATTCTAGTGAACAATCGATCTGAGGAGCACTTACAATACCTGAGCGAAGTGTTTGAGGTATTGCAATCTGAAAAAGTTTCACTTCATGAGAAATCAGGTATGCTTTTGGGTTATATCGTGCCTAGTGCAGGCATTCAGATGGACCCTACAAAGATCAAGGCCATTATAAGTTGGACCACAACGCAGACATTCACTGAGCTGAGATAGTTTAGGGGGCTAGCGTCGTTTAATAGAAGTTTCATCCAGAACTTCAGCACTATTACTGCCCTTTTAACGGAGCTTTTTAAAGAAAATGAGTTCACTTGGACGGTTGTACCTCAGAACAATTTCAACACCTTGAAGGAGAAAGTGACTCAGGCACCAGTTCTAACAATATTTGATTTCAACCAACTGTTTGAGGTAGCGTGTGATGCATCCAACATGGGAATTGGGGTTGTGATGCATCAGGGGGGTCACCCCATTGCTTTTCTCAATGCAAACCTGAATGACTCCAAGAGGAAGTACTCAACATACAACAAAGAGTTTTATGCGATTGTAAGAGCTCTTAAGCACAGAAGCCACTACCTGCTGACAAGCGAGTTCACGCTATTTACGGACCACGAAGCCTTGAAATTCCTAAATAGCTAGAGCAAACTGAAGGGCCGACACGCTACTTGTGTAGATTTTTTAGTATCACTCCAATTCTGCTTAAACACAAGGGAATCAGAACCGCGTAAGAGAAGCACGGAGCCGTCATCACCTATTAAGCACGTCGATGCAGACTCGTGTTATGGGGTTCGAGATAGTAAAGGACTTGTAAGATGCAAACGAAGACTTCAAGGAGATTTGAGAGCGATGTCAGGAAAACCAAAGTCGATGGTACCAAAATAAGTTGTGCATATTCTCGGGTGCTTGTTGAGGAAAGTCATTGTTCAGGAGAGCCACAACTGAGGTTTGGCAGGACATTTTAACAAGGGCAAAACTCTTGCACTCGTGAGAGCACTTATTTTGGCTCCGACTGACGAGAACTGTGGAGCGACATGTACGAAAGTGCAGGATTGACCAAAGGGCAGAATGTAGGGACGTACTCTACCTTACCAGCACCAAAGGCATTTTGGGTAGACGTCAAAATGGACTTCATGGTGAGTATCCCAAAGACGCAGAGGAACAAGAAGTCTGTGATGGTTGTGCTGGACCGACTCTCGAAGATGACACATTTCGTACCTTGCCACCGGACACTGGATGCGTCTCATGTCGCTGACTTGTACTTCAAAGAGATCATGAGATTGCATGGATTCAACAAGACCATCACCTCCGACAGAGATGTCAAATTTCTGAGCAATTTATGAAGGACCTTGTGATTGAAGTTGGCACCAAACTCCAATTCAATTCAGCAGCTCATCCACATAAGGACGGTCAGTCGGAGGTAGTAAACAAGAGGCTAAGAAACCTTCTTAGATGCTTCGTGGGAAAGAGCATTAAGCAGTTGGATTGCATTAGGGATCGCATTCTACATCATGTCGAGGTTGCATACAACAGATCCGTGAATCAGAAGACAAGGCGCACTCCGTTCGAGATTGTGTACAGGTGCAATCCGCTCACGTCACTTGAGTTGGTACCACTCGTGCCGACATCAAAGATCAGTGAGGATGTTGAAGAATGAGTTCACAAGATTCAAAAACTCCATGAGAAGGTTGGAAAGAAGTGTTAGACCCAAAGGTCTCCCTTTCCTTCTCTGTTTGTCGCTCCCTCCTCTCTTGCCTATTTTGTTTGCCGCCCAAGGGAGGAGCACTCCCTTCCTATTCTATTTCCTAGCTATAATATAGTTACTCTTTTGTCTTGCTTAAGGTTTAGTTCTTGGTTATCTCTGGATAGTGTTACTTGGAACATAACTTAAAAGAACATATGGAACACAAAAATGACTAAAATAAAGAAAATTTGCATAATTAAGGAAGTTAGGACAATATATTATGCTAATGATGAAAAATGAGAATTAAAAATACAACACTCATTGAATTTATACGAATTTTGATGGCTGAAATTTGAGAAAGAATGAAAATGATAAAAAAAACTTGAAAATGACTAGCTAAATTTATAAGCTCGCCAATGAGTATATGAGCTCCTCGGTACCTACCAAAATAATCAAGACTACAAAGGGTTAATTACATACATAGCACCTGATACATTGTTATTTAAAGATCTAGCACTCTCTTTCATCCATTTTTCAAATTCTCCCTGAAATATCAAAATTCATGAAAATACCCCAGCCCATATTTTTCATTTTTATCAAATTCTCAATAGTGTGATCCTGGCACGCGTAGATACATCGGTTCGGTAGTTCAAAAAGAACACCTAGGTTCTAGTTTTTGTAAATAGCTATTTTTTGGGTGTTATGTATTTAATTATCTTGACTGTAAAAGATGACTGCATTTGACGATGGTAAAGTAAGGGTCCCTGTATGAGGGCAAATGAATGGCACTAAGAAATAAATGCATACGAAAATAATTATAACATAAAAGAAATGAATACAACAAAAAGTAATTGTTAAGTAATCAAAATGATTCAAATTAAAATAGGATCACATCAATAATCTGCATGAGTTCAAATCTTTTTATTGATTATTAAGATATTTACAAATATTATTCAAAATTAACTCATCATTTCAATAAATGTGACTACATATGTTCATGAATAAATGTAACTCTTCATGTTGCTGCTTATCATTTAAAATTTCAACTCTTCGTTCTTCATTTTAATGGTTTTTCATGCAAACTTTTCATCTCAATGGCTAACATGAAAGGGTGTAACTCTATGCCTATAAAACCCACCAAGAATTTCATTAAAGGATTTTTCCCTAAAATTCATGAAAATATCATAAAGCTCTTTACCAAATGAGTTTCCCTCTTTCCTGACAAATTTGTGATAGTATAAGAAAAACATTTTTACTCTACTCAGTTCCATCTAATTTTAGGCATTCAACAAGAAAAATAGTTTTAAATATCTTTATAAGATTTATGCTATTGTAAAGATCAAAGAGACTGTAGAGCGTTGTATCTAAGAAGCAAAGATTTGTCAGAAAATCCCATGCCAACAAGGTAATTTGCTCCAATGACAATGCTGGAAATATTTGAATCCCAGTCAAATAAGCCAGTCTTTTTTTTATTTTAATATTTCTAAATATTAGCTTATTACAAACATTGTACACTTCAAATACCCCATAATCCAACTTCTTACTCAAACCTAGGATTTCATATATGTTATGAGTTTTAAATAACAAGCAATGCAAATGCTTGTCTCTAGAAATTCAAAAGGGATGAGTTTTAAAAATGTACAAATCCAATTCAAAAATTTACACTTGAAACATGATGGCAATCCTGAGACAATTTTAACCGGTAGTTATGAGCATATCCCAGTTGTGCAAGTCCTAAGGTTTACTCAATAGTTTAACTAATTTTTGAATATAAGAAATTACAAGGCAGTGACATGGCAATTTATTTGCTTGTACAAGAAATAAGATCTTAAATGCATGCATAGATGAAGATTCAAAAAGCAACTAAACCAATATAACACTGCAAATACCACTAAGAAACATGAGTATGAAAATTAATCAAGGGAGGGAATATTTAATGCCATAACTAATATAAATTCAATTGTATTAAAATATATGACGTGGTTGTCAATAAAATAAAACAATAAATACTTAATTACCTAATTCTGTACCGCATACACCCTTAGGCTCTCCAGTTGAACCAGAACTGTACATCAAATAACAAAACTTTCTCTGTCTATTGCTCTCACATGGCCATGCTAAATTTGTAAACTGGGCAACACTCTTCACAAACTTTTCTTTCATAGAAAAATACAAAACCAAAGTGCCACATCTGTCAACAACCCAATCAGTACTAGAAACATTCATTTGGCGCCCTTCAAATTGCATGGTGGAATCAGCCTTCACTTGAATAACAAGACAGGATCTTGAAGAAGAAACAACAGAAAGTATCCTTTCCTCCGGCCAGGATGGATCCAATGGCAAGAAGGCCTCCCCACACCTTAAGATGGAAAGGACGGCAACAATATATTCTACCGACGGGCCAATTTGCACTCCAACTATACGAGGCACATAACTCGTGGAAGGAAGACCAAGCCCATCAAATTCTCCAAGGTCGAACCCATAAGGAGAATAATCAGCATAACCTGGAAAAAATCTAGGACATTTAGTAAGGTGGAAGCATTTCTATGTCCTTTCATCACCATTAATTACATGCAAGGAACCAAAAAGCATGAAATCATTTTATGGTGAAGCAGGAGTTCGAAACTTTCAAAGAAACGTGTTTCCAGACTAATGATCCGGCAATCAGTGCAAATAAAAACATAGGTTCTCAAATGGTGCATATAGGAACTATAAAGGAAAACGTTTCAAATGAAAACAGTTCACATTTTAAAGATATCAACTGTAACCAAACTTTAGACGCGACTTGTTATTTTACTATTATGTTAACAAGAAAAAACATATGCAGACCAGCTGAAAGAATACACCCGCAACAAACAAGAATACAACTAATTTTCACTGGCACAGACAGCATTCGTAAATGGAAGAAGTAACAAAATGAAACAATCACAGAAGAACAGATTATTGAAAAAACTGAATCTATTCCTAACCTGGATGATTCAGATGATGGGCAGCATCACCGCCGTCCAGGACAAAGCGAATGCGACGGCTAAGAGAATCAACCGCGGACAGGAGTTCCTCGTAAGTGAAGCACTCATCGCCAGGAAATAATCGAGGAGAAGAGGATATGCAGTCGGCGTCGAAGTTGAGGTCAAAACTAGATATGGCGACGGGGGTGGACGAGGAGGAAGATGCCTCCTTTAGCCTCGCACGGGAGTCCCTGAATAGACCGCCGTCGGCTTGCACGATGGCGACGCGACGGGGATCCTTGGTAGCGGAGATGAAGAATTCATGGGAGATGCAGCAACCAGGCATCTCTCCCGTTAACTTCAGGTGAACGAAGGAAGCAATGTCCTCGGCGTTATGTGTGGCTGCTCATGCACTCAAGTTTACATTTATAATCTTACTGCCACAAAAAAGTGGGTTACAAGTTTGGGCAGGGAACCCTCCAACAAAAAAAAAAAACTACATTCTGCATTAGGATTCCACCAAATCAAAGTATAATTCTATGCAAAAATACTCTTCAAAATACATAAATCCAAAAAAAAAACACCAAAAACGTTTTAAGTATACCCCACAAAATAAAAAATTGCACCAACGAAGAAGTGTAATGTTGAATTTATCTAAAAAACCATCCAGAAGACATAGTTGTAAAATACTTCAGTCAATCCTCGCAAGTAATCAAAACCACATATATTCACCAAAGTAATAATAAAATAAAAAAAACATATAACTAAAAAAATTAAGACCAAAGGATCTCCCTGAATTCTCATCATTGCCTCAATTATCCCATGTAATGCCGAGAAAAACTAGTTATAAAGAAACATGTTGCAATACCACTAGCCCCTCAATCTCATACAAAATAACAGGTTTTACTTCCAAACAATGCCACCATTAAAATTCCAGCCTCAAACTATGCAGTTTTTTGAGCAAGGAAGTCATCCCAGCAAGTTTGTTGAGGTAACCGCCATACATCAACTCATTATCAAACTTGCCTGGCAGATCCTTATCAACAACGCTCCAAATTTCACAATCAAACCCTTAAATACATGATGTTTATATTATCACCATGTCACAAAATTCTTAAAGCCTGAGAAATATTGCTTAGCTCCAAAGAGTCTAACTCCACATCAATGAATTTGAATTTTAAACTTATCGCGACTTTAACCGCCAATAAGACGGCCTAGACTTCTGATTCCAAAGCGCAATTAGCTAAACATGGGGAAAGCAAAAAAGCATAAACATTTACTAGCATGATCTCTAAGAACACTTCCAGCACCCGCTTTCCCATTTGAGCAACTTCCATCTGTGTTCACCTTTATCCATGGGTTGCATGGTTTCCTCCATATGATTTGCCTAATACATTTTCCTTCTTCTGAGTAATTACCTCCTGGAATTTATGCTATAAGAAACTAACCCCTACATCAAAAGTGGCTTTCACCTTACCCTAATTCATTATTTTCTATATGTATGCAACTATATTATTAGCTACACTTTCCTCCTTAACTGCACCTCTTCTTGTTTTTTGGAGTTTAATGTTGTCTAAATAAACCACATTATTATATATTGTATCAAGTTTCTAATATGATTTGTATTTACTCCCAAATTCAACCAAGCAATACATTATTTCATAGAATGCCACCCAAATCCAATGCTTGCAAGTCAATCCTCGACCCAATATTTTTCCATTCCATAACTACATGTGCACAAGAAAAAACACATGTATCAAATTTTCATCCTCCATCCTACAGAGGGTAAATTGAGATGGAATACGCAACCTCTTTAATTTTGAGATGTCATCATTAGGGAGTAGTGTATGATAAACTAGCCAAATAAAGAAAGACATAGAATGAGATAGCTATTTGCACCATGCATTTTAGCTGAATCCACTTTCACCCAATGATGTAAATTTTGATAGATAGCTTTTTGTTATAGAGATGTTGGCATATTCCATAAGCACTTTGTCTTTCTTTTTTTTTTTACTGGTTATGTTCCATAAGCACTTTGTCTTTCTTTTTTTTTTTACTATCGAATGGAATCTCAAAAATTTTGCCTACTAAATCATTCCTCACAAGTACATTCAACATCTTCATATTTTAGTTATTTCCAACACAGCAATCAGCCACTTGTTTGTTACCCTGCCCTGCAATATGTGAATCATCTAGTTCCTCCATATGTCAGTTATCCTTCGAAAGGAAAGATTGCCTTCACCAAAATTCCAAAATATCTTTTTGTCAGCATATGATCTCACTTTTAACATGCCTTTTGAAACATTAGAGTCACCACTTATAACCTCCACTTGAGAAGGGTGTTTGCCCTTATAGTATTTAGCAAACATATATTGAGCCCATGTGCGTTTTAAGTTGTTAGTTATAGTTGTTTTTATCTGCTTTAATTTAGTCTTAACTATTGTTATCATTTCATTTTCATTTAAATCTTCAATCTAGATAAAATTTACATTTGAGTTTAACAAGTCAATTTATATAGTTCAACCAACCTCGTGGGATCGATGCTTGGTTTTTTTTAAGGAAAATCCTATATTTCTTTGAAACGATACTTATACTTGTGTGGTATCTCTAGTGTGAACAACTATTATTTATTTTTTATATCATTATATTTATTCACACTAGCTACTGAATATAAATTGGGTCAAGTTTTTGGCAATATTTTGGAGATTAAAAATACAATTAATTGCGGGTGGGGTCAAGTTTTTTGTGTCCTTACCGATGATAGGTGACCGACGACTTTATATATGCTAAAAAATATAAGATAAATATGGACGTAATAAATATTCAATAATTCTAAAGTCACACTTATCAACACAAATATATGTATCGCTCAAGTAATATAGGGCTATAATGAAGTCCTAGATATCGATTCCACAGGGAGTGGTTTAGAACTGCGAACTAAGAATTTAGAAAAGCAATACTTTAATCGCAACAACGAAGTTCAATTTGTTTATCTGTCACTAATAGGAAATTGAAATAAATATATAATTTTAATAACTAATAAATAACTAATGATACTAATGAGAGTTTAAATGTGATATTCAATATATAAGAAAGCATTCTTCTCCTTGTCAAGAAATTATAGTGAAGGGATAAAGTGAATCAATTTAAATTGTATTGTGTCATAGGAGCATACTTATTCTTTACCCTCTGGTCCATGCGTAAAGAACATTGACTAATTTTACGTTTATTTACCGAATCTGCAGCTAGGCTGGGAGGATATCGGCTCTCACTTCGGAGCTCCCACGTTCCTCTCATTTGAGGGCTATTCAAACGATAGGATCGAATTGGGGATTTTAGTCTGTCACTCTAAAATCTCTAATTCTACGCCCGATAATATTATTTCCCTATTTATTTTCACCCAACTTCCAAGGGCTTTGACCT